GCTTAAAGTTTTTAAAAAAGTTAAATTTAGGGGGTATAGTTAATAAATTTGGGGGGTATAAAAAATAATTCCCTATATAATATTAGAAGAATATAATTCTTTTGATTACTTTATTATTTCTCAGAATTAACCTATGACAGAGAGAAATAAAATCCACTCTAAATTTTTAATCATGTATATCTAATAAATAAAGAATGGTCTTAGGTTATGCAACTAAATTATCAGCAGCGAGTCACATACCATAATGTTGTTATAGTATACTTTGGAAATCACCAAATACGGTATTTTATATGGTAATATATATACATGCACATATATAGTATAATCTATAAGAGATTTTATCCGAATAGGAAATGTTATAATGTAGCTATAGTAAATCGAGTAATTTAATAATACAGTACCCAGGTAGTAAATGATAAATGATGAAATAAATGATAAACTATATGATAAAATACATGACAAAATAACCAATGTAATGTCAATGATATTCGTATTGTAATGTAGAGAACCAAAAAAAACTATTAAGTTTTTGTCTATTAAACTAATATCATGGTTTAATAAAAATGATTCCTGACTTTAAATCGAGCTTTTAAGCTTTAACTCTAGTAAATTTTACTCACGGTATGATTTATACTGTTTGACGATAAAATAAACGAGTGAATAAATAATATGAATTTAAAATCCAGTTAAATTCACGAAGAGAAATAATATATAATATATAAACGGGAATAATAATATAACCAAAACCCCGCTGACAGGCTATTATATGTTAGAAGTTATCACACACTTTTGTCAATTGGCCTAGTCGCCAATTGACTCATTATAAATTTGTTGTCGGTTGGTGATTCAAAACTGTAAGATCCGCCATGAACTAGCAAATTATCTTGTTTTCTATCATAATAAAGATAATCACCATATATCATTTGTTGACAAAATGTTTGATCAGGTATTTGCCAGGTACAGTGGTTACCAACTAAACTATTACGGCTATAAGTTAAATTTGATCGGGTATGGTAGTTATTGAAAGCAGCAAAGTTTGGTTGTGGTTGAGCAGGATCGAGAATATAGACAGCATTGGTCAAAGTTGGATGAAAGTGGTGGTTGTTAATATCGGATGAGTTTGGTTGAGTCATATTTAAATGATAATGGTTGTCATTGTAGGTGTCGATATTGGTCGAATTTTGTTGAAAATTGTAGGTATTGGTATTGGTGGAGTTTGGTTGAACATTGTAGAAATTGATATTAGTCAAGTTTGGTTGAACAACCGAGGTTTGTTGAGGGAGGGTGTAAACATGGGGACGAAAGCTTTGCTGCGTATATTTATTAGTCAAGTTTTGTTGAACCTGGAGAGAGGCATCAGTTTCAGGCAGTTTTTGTCGACGTTTACGAATTCCTTTTTTGGGGCCACGCTTAGAACCTTGAATAAAATTACATTGTAAATTGTTCTTTTCACAGAGACTACAGGGATTGCCGCTACACCTTTTATGAGTAAGCCGACAGTTAGTGCACGCAGTTTGAGTATTTTTTCGTTGTTTACGTTTGTTAGGCATCATAGAAATTTAAGATTTATCGAAAATACAGAAATATGTTTTATATGTGTGTATATGAGTGTCGCTCCCGACAATTTAAATATGGATTATATATAAATTGTCGGGTTTTCTTTTAGCGACACTCATATATACTAGATGTTTTCAAAACCCCTGAAATCTATGCATGATTATCTGGATCTCACCGAGAATATTATAACATAACGTCATGCTGATTGTAAGCTATGAATGGGGTCAGTACAGTAGGAAAAATTTTTGAGATTGCAAATATTAGATTACTAATAAGAATCTGACTTTTAGTACAAATTAGTTTCAAATAGGAAAATTAATGATAATTCACGTCATTGAAATTACCAAAAAACCTTGTCTCTAGAAACTTGATTGTGAAACGTGCCTATGATGTACGCCAATGTAACATGTACGTACGTACGTACGTACGACGAGAAAGTTATATTAAAATCGCGGAGATGTTGAAATCGATAATTATAATTGGTTCAAATAACAGACAAGTTTCGTTCGTACGTACGTACGTACTTACGTATAGAATATACGTATGACGTGATGATAAAATAATTATATGCCAATTATAGTATGCAGCATAAATACAGAACATTATGTTTATATGCATTCCAATAATGACTTGTTCTTGCATTAATTAGCTATGATAACTCTGATTCTGACCTTAGGACCCTAGGCATTCAAAGGGATCAATTTTGTAACAAACAAGTTTGATAAATTGCACAATAAAATATAACGTGAGAAATAACAAACCAACTACGTATAAAATATTATTATATTGTTGTCATGCTAATGATAATGCAAGATTGAATATCAAGATTAATATCAAAACTAATTTATTGTCACATTTTACTAAATAGAATGCACGTGGAACAATCTTAAAACCTTTAATGTTGATATAATCCAGAGATTGTTACCAGACGGGTAAACTGGTTAATTAAGAATGAATAGTACGTATCGAGCAGAAACATATAATTATGGTTTTATTTCTTTTGCGTTATAACATAACCATAAACTCAAACTATAATTCATTTAGCAAATACAACCTAAATAAATAGTAAAATTCGGACTATTTCTAATTCTTTGTGTGCGGGCACCCCGTCATTCACATGAATGTGTACTATTACGATTGTACACAAATGTAACAATGTTGGATGCATATAAATAAATATTTGTGTAATCAGGCGTACGTACGTACATACTATGCATGCACCCCAAACTCTGCTTTGCGATTAGTTGCAAATTAATGATTGCTACTCAATTTTATGACCCACCATAGGTCTCCATAGGTTAGTAAAGGGGGTTATTTGCTAGCATTTAATGTGAATATGACCAAAAGTTATGATTATATGTACGTACGTACGACTAAGGTCATAAAAAAGCAACAGTGAAGTATAATCAGCATAGCGATGACCACAAAACGCACGTGCAGTATTCGCAAATTTGCCAATACAGCAATAATAATAATGGTGTTATCCGGTAATTTAAATGATCATGGTTGGTAGGGAGTTGTTAACGTGCGAATAAGTACTATTTATTCCCCCGCGAAGCGGGGAATAATGAAATATTTCCCCGGATTTTTTCGGCTCCGATAGGAGCCAAAAAGAAAAAATCCGGGGAAATAATTGACTATTATTTCCCCGTAGCGGGGGAATAAATGCATTATTCTCCCGTTTTATTAATTGACGGCCGGAGGCTATTTCCCTACTGAGTTTAAAATTATGTTTTGCAAAAATAACATTAAAATCCCCATCAAAAACAATTAGTAAAACGGGGAATAAATACGTATATATACATATATAATATAGTAATTTTTATTATTCTTATTTTTATCTAACCCATTAATTACATGATGAGCAAAGTATTAAAATTCATATATAAACCGTTAGAATGCATAATTAATTACTTTTAAACTATGTATTATTTGTTAGACTTTTACACCAAAATTTTGATAAAATGTCAAAATTTTGATAGCTTGTGTGCATTACGCAATGTAAATATATTGTCCCGAACAATTGAACAATGGAATACATGCGCTTACCTACAATAGCAGTTATTCAGGTTTCAAAGTATCACATAGTGCACGTTTGTTAACATTACAGCATTAAGCAAACTAAATCAATAACGATAAATAGTTTGATTAATTTGCATTAACAAATCACGTTTAATCCTGTATTATAACAAATTAATATCGCGTGGTTTTACAATCACAATTATCATAACGCATATACTGTAATATCGATATAGAGTTAATTTCGATCTAACTATAAATTGCAATAATAAAAAAATCTTGTTACTGTAATTAATTTTAACTTGATAATCCTTGCCGTATTTGATCGTATAATATAACAATATTTTTCTTTTTGTAATACTGTAATTGTCTTTACTATTCTCTAGTCTCGCTAAAGTGGAGTTAATTCAATATATTGACTTGCATATTACACAAATTAAATATTAATGATAATATGACCGGCATTTCTGTATGTCAATAAGACTTTATTGGGCGCAAAAATGCAACTTTGGTTAACCCTCTTTTAGTGGTCTTATATATTCTATGTATTGTATTACTATCGTACAAAGCTTGACAAAGAAATTTTGCTTACAATCTTCCAAAAGGCACCTGATGGCATGCTATGACTATGTATGTAAGACAAATGGATATTGTTATGCTTATGCATTGTCCAAAAAAAACTTCTAATTACATGTTGTAAGGTTGTTTATTAATAATGTAATCTAATTGCTGTAAAAATTGTCTTCGCAAGTAACGTAAAAGACATGCAAGCTGCATTCAAATATGCAAATTCTCTAAATCTAACTATTACTGCTAGATCAGGAAGTGCATTCATATGAAGGTATCGGTAATATAGTTGTGTATGTTCCAAATTTAGATCAAATTAGTATTATAATAGGCCAATAAGTAATTAGGATATTATGCATATACTATTTTATAGCAATTAGATAATATGCCGTAATTGATTCTACCATATCAGATATGTCGTATAATTCGCAAGTCAGATATGGTTACTTATGATTTGCTTTTTTAGAGATTCTTGGATCTGAGAAAAGCACTCTTTGGAGTCAAAATCGATTATAACTAGGAGATCGAATGGAACTTGGAACCGGATTTAGTCGGTTTAACATCTGAAAAATAAAACTCTAAATCAGAATCTGAGGTTCGAGTCAAATCACACATTGTTACACTGACTGCAAATCATCATGGGTACCCTCAATCCTCGATTTCTATTGGTTGTATATGACAACATTGCATCAAATTTGATCAAACAGAAGAGTTCTCGCTACGCTTCGGACAATAATTTAAATCGTGATATTGTTTATGTATCGTTTTTTTTCAAAATTTGTAGGTATAAGAGTTAGTTGGTAAACAGCACATTGTGGCTCCATTTTTGATGATTGTCATATCAAAAAAGATAACACTCGCGACTTCAAGCACCTTACACAAGCAAGGCGACATCAACCTCGCATAAAAAAAAAAAGTAAATCATTCAAGAAATTTAATAATCAGTGAGATATCGACATAAAGATTCTTTAAATTAAATAATTAAATAAACTATTTCATATTAGATAGGCTATTAAATGTTTTTATTACCTATATTATACATATATATAAACAAAGATCTTACGCTTTTCGCTATAAATTTTAATCTTCTAAGACTGTAAATCGTATGATGTAACTTTACATGATGTATGTAATACGTATATGATGTTTACCACATGCAAGCACTTATAATGGAAGAATATTTTCTAATGGTATTTGTTAAGAATTTATTTATGCAAATGTTTTATTACTAAGTGATTAATGTGATTGTTCACATTAATAGAATTTAAATTAAAAGTTTCTCAGAAGTTTTTAACAAAAAAATTACGACAATAAAGAACTATCAAATCTATTGTACGGCAATCGACCTCATGCTTAATTGTTAGTTTATACGTTGCCAGAACACCTTTTATATGACATCACCATTGCTTATTCAATGCAATTCAATGGTAAGGTATTCTTTGATTATTTAATTCATTATTTAATTTGACATGAAAAGCATAGGTGCGCCTTGGTCATGTGGGGTCTTTGCAGTAGAAAGGGCGGATACTGCCAAAAAATGAAAATCGAGTTTTTGCTATATTCGGATAAATTTTG